ACTGGAACACCCTATTGCTCATGGTAAAAAGGGGTAACATTATTGATGGGAGTTATGCAGTTACCATTGTTGTAATATCTATCCAGGACTACAATAAGCAATTTCCTGAAGTTGCTTCCATAGTTTGTCAGTGCATACGGCTGCATATAATTTCTGTAACAAGGAGTTTTTTCAACTGTGTGTTAAGGTTGCAAAGACAGGGGATATAAGGTAAGTGCTAGGAAAGAAGCAAGCTGTGAGAAGGATGAAAAAAGAATATGGGTATTAGAAAGAAAGAGAAGAGAGGAGAAGAATGAAACAAAGGCAGAAAGAAAGGAGGGAGAGATGGGAGGAAGAGGATAAAATAGGAGACTAGTTGAAAAGAACCAAGGGGAAAGACACATAGGCAGATGGGAAAGGGAGAGGAAAGACCTGAAAACAAGTTTTGTATGGAAAGAGCAAAGAAGGAAAAATGAATTTGAAACATTTTAACTGTAAGAGTTAAAAGAGTTTAGAGCCTCTTGCCATGAATGGTGCTGTGGAAGACCTAGTTTTTCATTCTGGCTGCATCAGCCCTTATTCAGTGTCAAATATATAGCAGCACTGGATCATAGAATCATAGAATCATAGAATATCAGGGTTGGAAGGGACCTCAGGAGGGCATCTAGTCCAACCCCTGCTCAAAGCAGGACCAATCCCCAACTAAATCATCCCAGCCAGGGCTTTGTCAAGCCTGACCTTAAAAACTTCTAAGCAAGGAGATTCTACCACCTCCCTAGGTAACGCATTCCAGTGTTTCACCACCCTCCTAGTGAAAAAGTTTTTCCTAATATCCAACCTAAACCTCCCCCACTGCAACTTGAGACCATTACTCCTTGTTCTGTCATCGGCTACCACTGAAAACAGTCTAGAGCCATCCCCTTTGGAACCCCCTTTCAGGTAGTTGAAAGCAGCTATCAAATCCCCCCTCATTCTTCTCTTCTACAGACTAAACAATCCCAGTTCCCTCAGACTCTCCTCATAAGTCAATCAGCCATATAGACTAACAATCGTGGCTCTTTTTGTTAGTAATTGACAGAAAGTGCTGTTTTCCATTGAGCATGGACAGACAGACTAGCCTCAGTGACAAGTGATAGAAACTTCGTGGACAGGTTGTTGCTGTGATCAGGCAACAGTCAGATCCTCAATTCAAATCTTTGAGGCTTTCTAGCAAGAAATCTAGGAAATATCTTTTTCAATCTTCTAGTAATATGGAATGGTGGTTTATCTGACAGCTCTGCAACTCTATACAGAGACCCAAGTAATGCAGCAAGACCAGACAGTGTGAGCACTGTAGATGTCAGACTAGATAGCTTTTGCTGAGCATGTACAGATGATGCAAATGTTCATGATCTGAGGTCTCCATATTCTGCCATTCCTTGATTGTGGAACTGACTGCAAAATCCACGTTAGTACAGAATTGTACTGCACTGATCTGCTCCAGCGCGGATCCGTAGCATAAATTAGAGTGCTGTAACTTAAACCAAGCCTATGACCCCCCAGTGGTTATTCTACAACTGGGGGATCATTGGGGCATATAGGTACCCTGGCTATACCTCCTTTTCTTTCCAGACATGCTGGTGGAATCCTCAAAGGGCAAGTTAAGCCTGTTTTACATGGCTGGAGTGGCACAAATCAGCCTGGCCAATGCAAGGATCTGGCCCATAATGCTTTCTCATGCATTTTCCCATTTTAAGTGATCCAGGAAATGAAGTTGCCACCATTTCCACAGTCTAACTGATATCACAGCTAGTTATCACCCACTCAGACAGTACACTGGGCCAATCACCTATTTTCCTCCCTCTCCTTAGCCCTATAGGTCTTAATTTCTCCCTTGCTGATTTTGTTCAGATTTATAATGCAGACATAATGGACACTAAACGACAGACCGGGTATTTGGGGCGAGCTAGTGCTGCAGTGTGTGGAATGCCTTTCCATTGGTCTCTCGCTGGAAAATGTTCAGTTTAGAAAAAAAAAAACCACAAGACTTGAGCATAAATACTCAGTAGTTTTAAGCATGACCTTAAACCAAATCTCTAGAGTAGCTTGCTTGGTAAAAGAAATGTGACTCTTGCATTAAAATTTGGAGCTAGACCTAAACTCCATATTTTAGATCCAAATCTAAACTTTCCAAGAACTAAACGTTCTTGTGTATTAGATCTCTGATTTTTAGTTCAGTTTCACAGGGACCAGCCATAGTAGTTGGATATGGAACTAGATCCAAACATTTCCAAAAAACAGAGGTGTTTGGATCTGAGTATTTGATTTGGGCCCATCTCTCTACTAAAAATCAATGTTAAGAAAATTATCATTAACACTTTTAGGATAGATATTTGATAAGACAAGGTTTGACTAAATATAGAAAAGCAAAATTTATTCCTTGGGTGTATTGTTTTATCACAAGAGTCTCTCCGTGAGTCCTCATACTCAGGGGGAGGGAGGACTGTCATTTCAGTCACAGCATATTTTCTGCATTCTCAGAAACAAGCATTAATTATTATTATATATTTTTATTATTGTAGCACCTAAGAGCCCCAGTCCTAGACCAGGACTCCATTATATTAAAAATATAATGTATTATCTGCAGATTCAGCCCTGTACTCTGATATCTTGGCATACACCCACTACTATGCATGCCTGATACAATGACCAATGAAGTTAATAAAAAGACCCCAAGTGACTTCAATGGGTGATAGATCAGCCCCCATACCTGGTACAATAATGTACCATACATGTATGCACAGATACCGAAGGTAATTTTTGAAGGTTATGCTGTAATGTGCACCCGTGGACGTGCCAAAAGGATACACATCAGTACGTTTATATTCCCCCTGCATTTTAAAAGTAGTAGCCTCCTATGGAACAGAGAACAATTGTTTAATTTGTATGTAATGTTCTTAACACACAGGACCACACAGGGCTTTATAACTGTATGCTAAAGAGCAAATAAATCTTTTAAAGGTGAAATAAAAGGAGGGAAGCCAGGCTGTGACTTGCAGAGGAGGGGATGGAGGCTGAAGATCAAGAACTGCACAGATAAGGGGTTTCATGAGTGACAGAGCTACCCTGTGGATTGTGAAGTCACAGGACCTGTCAGAGAAATTATTTTGCTTTGCAAATATAGAGGATCGCAGCAGTAACTAAAATACAACTACATCCCAGTCATGAATTTACCATTTTTTGTTATTTTAATTTAACAGAGCCTTGTTCAAAGCAAAATGGAGACATAATGGCAATGTAAGCGGCAATGGCTCTTTGAAGCAAACCTTCAGCAATCAACAATGAAAGCTTGTGATAGATTCATTCTTTTCTCAGTCAGTGAGAACCTCAGCATTAATTAATGTAGGACACACCTTTCTGAAGCTTGGTTATTCCCTTGGGCAACAGCTTTACCTCACATTAATTTACAGTTCAATGGCAATTTTATGGATACTTGAACTTTTATTACTGTATAACCTGTATAACCAGGGTTGAACAGATTTTGCTAGTAGGATAAATGATAACTTGGTTATAAAATGAGTCATTGGCATTACCTTTTCAATACATTATGGGCCAGATTGTCAGAGGCCTTTGCTCAGCCATGCTGGTGTGGAGGGCACACAAGCAACCTGTACCTCCTCGCATGGCTGCACTAACAGACTGTGCTCCAGACAGTGACAGTAGAGACTGCTCACTCCTGCACCACTGCTCCCCCACAATCAAAACAAGGACAGGGCGTGGTGGGAGGAGATGGCCTCTTCGTCTGGACCCCATCTGCAGCCTAGGAGATGAAGCAGAGCGCTCACCCACAGCCATTGCTCAGGGAGCAGTCTTGGAGAGCCTGTGTCTGCCAGAGGCACCATCTCTCCAGTACTCCTCCGGGATCAGTGAGGCTCCACTCCACTCCCACTGCAGGAGGTGCTGCCTGAAAAGCTACAATCTAGCTTTTCTAGGGACTCGATCCTATAAGGAGCTGAGTACTCTGGCCCTGATCCAGTAACACACTTAAGCACATGAGTTGTCCCAGTGTCTTCAACTGGACTACTCACTTACTTAAAGTTAAGCACATGCTTAAGTGCATTCCTGTATTGGAGCCAGGACCATAGCAGGGTTTCCTGCTGGAGATTTCAAAGCTGGCCACCTCATTGATCTTTAATTCCCTGGCTCATTCTTCAACTTGACTTTGAAATTCCAGTGGCCCTTACACTCAAAGAGTGAGCCCCAAAATTATACCTAATGGACCACAACCCACTGTCTGTTACGGTGGTGTAAATCTAGAGTGTTCAATGGAATTAGACCAACGGAAGTGAAAGCAGAATTTGGCCCATTGTTTTCAGTCCCTAAATCAGTCAGAGCTCAAATTACTCCAAGTGCTAGAAACAACAGGGCAGTCATCTTTCATTTAACAGGTGGAAGAGACTCCTTGTTAAGTTTGTCTCTGTTAGAGAAGACCTGGACAGTTCAATGCTTGTACAAAGTGGTAGTGCAACTGGCACAGGAATTGTCTTCACTGGACCTACTTGCACGAGTGAGTGTTCACTAATGTGAATACGCATTGTGTGATCTGGTTGTAGATGAGAAATAGAACAGAAAGCCGCAGAACAGGTATTTGAGCAGCTAATGGGCTAATTTTACTGCTTTAGTTTTGGATTGTCTGAGAGAAAATGAACAACTTTTTGGACCACTGTTGTAATTTCAAAACGTCACAAATCATCCTCAACTCTCTCAGCAGTTGAATGAATAATTGTGAGGAGGGGAGGGACTGACTGGAAAATTATTGTCTGAGGAGATGGTACATAAGGCAGGTAAGCTCTTGGTGGATTTTTGTGTCTGAGGTTTTTTATGGTATCAAAACAGGTACCGGTTTAGTCCAGCACACCAGCTACTTCACAAGAACACAGGAAAGCAGAGCCACTACATCATAAAGTTACCAGGCCAATGTCTCTTTGGTGAAACTGTTCACATGTTTATTTTATTTATTTATTTATTGTTAATGTCCCACATCTCAGTGAAATCTTCCCTCCCCATCCCATTCTCATACTGCCATCGCGTTGCTGTTTTTTCACCTATGTTGGACACAATATCCAAGGCTGTGCTGGCTTCCTGGACCATAGCTCACTTCAGACTAAAAATAAACCAGAAAGGGGGGGAGGGGCGGAATTACAGAAAAGGAAAGGTCATAGTTTCAAAGTCATGTGGGCAAAGTTCTCAGTAGTCCCCTATTTTAGTTCAGAATATATACATCCACATAAGCTTAATATTATATTTATGTTATTATTGAAAATTATTTATACCATGTAACCTACTATAAAACAGCTGCATAGCACTGAAGTTTAAGAAACTGTTTTTAATAATGTTTATAATAAAATGTATGCTTCATTATTTTAAGATTTCATTAAGGACAGAATCCAGAGCAGTGGAAAAAGCCAGGCCTGGAAGGCAGTTCTCTCTAAAGAAAACAGAACAAAATGATCAGTATAGCAGAAAATATTGACTTAGCCAGTATTTCACTTTTAGACAATATTCACCTTGAAAATCAAACCACCAGTTTCTTATGACACACTAACTGATTTTTCTGAAACCCAGCTGGCACTAATTTCATTTAAATCCAGTCTTTCTAAATCTGTGTGATCCCATGAATATATCTGAATGGGAAAAAAGTCTCTTTTCCAGCATTAAAACCATTTGATGGTACCTACAAAAACAGAATATGCAACTTCGTTGAATGAAAGTGTGTGTGTGTTCCTGGTGATGCCTCCTTAAGAATGCATGTTGTCATTGATGTGCTCAATGCTAGATGATTGTATTTATGGGATGACCTAAGGATTTTCATTTGCAAACTGTTTTTCAAGAACTTGGGAGGTCCAGTTGCAATGGTCAGAGATGGGAAAGAGTTTGCACTTGAAACAGATAGCTTATGAGACCTTTCCACTATTTTAGAATTAGAGCTATTTAATGCATGGTCTGTGACTCAAAGCTCTGATCTGACTAATCTTTATTCCACCCTTCTGCCCCACAGAATTCAAGCCCAAATTAAGCCACACCAAATCCTGCGTCCATCTGAGGTTGCTGTTTTGAAGCCTGTGCGAATCTAGCTTTGTTGTTACCAGGACTTCTTACACATACAAAAATGTAATCCTAGATTTGGAATATAGATGCTCTGCCATAAAAATATAAATGATGAATTCTTTCTAAGGAAACTATACGTTGCTAAGCAAGCTATGCATTGAAGTCTATCAGTAATAGACATGGCCAGATATTGAATTCCCCTATCTGGCCTTAGCTATTGCTCTTTTTTCCCTATCAAATTCCTGTCCTATCCATGGGTAAGTCTGGTTCTGGAAGACTCCCATGTTCTTATGCCACCTTCTTCTAAAAACCAGGATCTAAAGCTATACTGGACTTAGATTCACGCAAACACCACAAAAATAATGTTGCCCCTGAAGAGTCAGGTATATGGGCTATGCACATTGACCAAGTCAAAATGAAATCTCTCCATCCATTGCCTGCCCTCCTCTCCCCTTGGATCAGTCATGACATCACCCTTGGGGCTGAGGGGTCTTCACTGATCGAAGGTGGACCCTGTGCTGGCTGTAGTTGGCTGTACACCGTGCCATGCCTGCTGTTTGCAAATGTCCCTCATTTTAGTCCCAAAATTTCCTATTTTCCATGTAAATTTTATGCTCCCTCACTCTTATTGTTGGAAGTTATTAAAATAAGATATAAAAAGTCATAAATGGAGATTGTAGGAAAAGCCATTTACATGACTGCATCATTGCATCCCAACTTTTGACTGGGAGAGGTTGAGAGGAATGATTTTTGCCAGTTTGCTTTCGGATCACAGGGTTGGTACCCAAGGGCTGAGGTTTTCAAAGGTGCCTACAAGAGTTGGGTGCCTAACTCACTGAGTTTCATTGGTAGTTGGATACCTAACTCCTTTAGTTGTCTTTGAATGCCCCTATCTTTAATCTTTCTCTGGCACGCAGGACTCAGGGTGAATTACTGACGTACCCATCCAAACCACAGAGCTCTGAATTCTGCTAGGTGGCATTGGAAGATGTGGAAATGAGCCTAGCCATCCTGTAAATCAGAATCACTCTTGCTATGAACTGATTCAGTGGGGAAGGCATTTCATACACTGAGTTTTAGTGTCTGTTGCTTGATGGGATAAATTAATTTTTTTACTATCTTTCAACCCTTTTTGAAGTTCTATAAATAGCCTAAGCTAATAGAAACTTTTATATATATATATTGGGCATGCAGATCCCCTATGAGGTTATTTAAAACAAAATAGGAAATCTACTATAATATGTTTGTTCAATTGAAAAGGAAATTGAACCACAGTGAACTATGAGGCTCTGACTCTGACAGCTGCAAACAATTCATAGTTAAAATGACTCCGGATAATTCCCAATTTTATTTACCTATTTTTATTTTTTACGGGTTAGAGGGTTCAGAATGACCTTGAATTGAAAGCTCTGTACATGTCCTACTGCTTCCTTTGACTGTGTCCAATATTGCCTCATAGGCGATGATGTAAAATGCTGGAGAAAAAGCCTGTCCTATTATTGGTGTCAGCATCTGAGAGGGAAGGAATAACATGAATGTAGATTTGATTTAGCCAACACTTCCCTGTGAAAGAGAATTCAAATCTTTCTATCATTAATGGCAAATATAGCACTATGGGAAATGTATGTGAGGGGTGATCTGAGGAAGCACAAAGGTCATTAATGTTAGAACAAGCACAATCCTTGGTAACTTTTCCCTTAATTTCCTGGCCCCTCTATGGCTATTTTTGGTGCAGCACCTCTCTTTGCAGCAAATATTTCACAGACAGTGCTGAAGGCAATATAAAGTTGCTGTTAAGAGCAGCAATTCATTCTGGAGAGACAAACAGACATACACCCTCAATTGTGGTAGAAAACTGAGATATTAGTGGCTTTTTTTTAATTTACATTTTCCATGTTAATTCACCTCTAGATCCCAACAGTGTGACTTACTAATTAATTACTATTATTATCTAATGGCAGTGAAAACTGAAATTACTGCCTGCCTTAAGCATGATAAAATTGACAACAAATTCATAGTTTGTGAATTGCTTTCTCCTACAGTTCTGTTCACAAAAAGAAGAGCATGGTTTGATGGTACATGTGAGCCATCCTGCACACAGCACCATCTGCCATAGCTTGGTATGGTTGTTGTGGAGGCAATTACCTCATCTCTACAATGGGGAGGGTAGGAGAAGGGGTTGGGAAGGAAGTAGTGCTCCTGGTAGGTATTAAGGGAGGGACACTGCTCAGTTTTAAGAGAGTCTGTTCTCTTGGCCATAGGGCACTACAGCAGAGAAAGTGGTTCGCCTGATAAGTCAGTGATGTTCCTTTTTAGGCAGGATCATGGACACTATTGTTTGTCTAACGAACATGAGTACTTGTGGCACCTTAGAGACTAACAAATTTACTAGAGCATAAGCTTTCGTGGGCTACAGCCCACTTCATCGGATGCATAGAATGGAACATATAGTAAGAAGATATATATATATATATACATACAGAGAAGGTGGAAGTTGCCTTACAAACTGTAAGAGGTTAATAAATTAAGATGAGCTATTATCAGCAGGAGAAAAAACCTTTTTTTGTCTGTCGTTACAAGTAGCTTTGTGCTAAGTGATAACATGGATGCAATAAAAGCAGCCAATAGAATTGTAATTTTATCAGTTGTGTGCCGAGCAAACAAGTATTTTGTTGTTTTGCCTCAACCGTTTTCTACAAAAATGGAAGGCAATTTTTCCCCAGGTTGACTTTTTCCCTATGAAAATGGCAATTTTTTCAGAGCTTTAATGACTTGGGGGGCGCTGAAAAAGAGGTTCACAGCCTCCCTGGAGAGGCTTACTTCAGTGCAGATAAGCATCTTCAAGTTTACAGCCAAGATTCAAAAAAATGTGCTTAAAGTTAGACTCTGAAATTCTTATTCAGGTGACTAAATCAGTGACCTGATTTTCCCATTAGGACTGCACATCAGCTGGTGCTCATTCCTCAAGCGACGGGCAAGGTGATGCAGCACCAAAGACTCATAAACTCATAGACGCATAGACTTTAAGATAAGAAGGGTCCATCGTGATCCTCTAGTCTGACCTCCTGCACATTGCAGGACACAGAATCTCACCTATCCACTCCTGTAATAGACCCCTAACCTCTGGTTGAGTTACTGAAGTCCTCAAATCATAGTTTAAAGGCTTCAAGTTACAGAGAATTCACCATTTACTCTAGTTTAAACCTGAAAGTGACCCTTGCCCCATGCTGCAGAGGAAGGCGAAAATCCCTCAGGGTCTCTGCCAATCTGACCTGAGGAAAATTCCATCCTGACCCCAAATCAGTTAGATTCTGAGCAGGTGGGCAAGACCCACCAGGCAGATACATGGGAAAGAATTCTCCGTAGTAACTCAGAGCCCTCCTGGCCTAATGTCCTGTCTCCGGCCGTTGTGTATTTTTGCTACTGGGAGTCGCTGACAGGCCACATGCCATTGTAGGCAGTCCCATCACACCATCACCTCCAGAAACATATGAAACTCAGTCTTGAAACCACTTAGGTTTTTTGTCCCCACTGTTCCCCTTGGAAGGCTGTTCCAGAACTTCACTCCTCTGATGGTTAGAAACCTTCACCTAATTTTGAGCCTAAACTTCTTGCTGTCCAGTTTCGATCCATTTGTTCTTGTGTCCACATTGTGTCTCCCAAAGCCTTGTGTTAGAACAGGGTTTAAGACTGACTGTGGTACTTCCAGTGACTAGATTGTGGGAAGTAAGTCTATTCATTAGGAGAAATGTTGTGAAATGTTCTTCTGAATAGAAGAATATGCTAAGTTTGCCACTTTTAGAGTCTTCCTTTCCATAAACACACTTTCAGTGCTTCTGCATTAATAGAGTCTCATAGACTTGAAAGTCAGAAAGGACCGTTGTGGTCATCTAATCTGACCTCTTGCACATTGCAGGCCACAGAACCTCACCCACTCCTGAAATAGAGCCCTAACCTCTGGTTGAGTTACTGAAGTCCTCAAATCATGGTTTAAAGACTTCAAGTTAATGGGATTGAGGTTCCTAAGTCACTCGGGAACTTTTGAAAATGTTGCCCAATGATGGGACTGGAGGAAGACCTATAGGGAGTCAGTATAGAGTGGTCATTTTGAACTGCATCACTGGCAATTTTCTGGTCAGACAGCTGATGAATATGACCCCTGGAGGATCTCTGTAGTGTAAGAGGAATACAGGTAGCATAGAGCTAGTGTAAAGGCTCCTACATCACCTCAACCTACTGCCTGTGTAGGCAGTGTGACAGGTCACACATATTTTGGATCCTAGATGTGGTTTTGGGCCTTTGGTGGCCAATGTAAACTGAAGCAACCCAAGGGCCATTTTAACGTGTCACAGAGGGCCAGCCCCACACCTCAGTGTTCTCTGGACTCAGAGAATTCAAAGGTGCACTTTTGAAACACATACGCATCTCTGTGACTGAGTCCATGTGTAAGTCAACCAGACTCCAAGATCTGGCCTATAGCGAGGTATCTTGACTAGAATTAAATTGCTGAAGCAATTGTCCACTACAGGTGAATGTGACTGTGTGTACATGTTTGTGGGTATAACAATTACTCTCTTTCCTGATCTCAACCAGTGGGTGATCACTAATGTTTAGAAGAAAATTAATATGTAAAAAAAAAACTGGTTATAAAGGAAAGAATGACAATGAATAGGTCACTTACTCAAACAGGAAGTTAGCATCATTACAAGGCTCAGAAGAGGGTTTTAATTTAGAGTCTAAATACCATGGTGATTGGGAGCTGCACAGAAAAATTAGATAACATTAAATTACTTTAGACAAACAAAACTTATAGGTCATATCAAGGAAGTCAACTACAATACACAGTATTGAATATTCTATGCCACTCAAAAGCATACAAAAGAAAACAAAAACAAGAAGCTGCCAGCCAAAATTACCAATGTAGTCCCATTTGACAACAATAAAAAAATAAGTATTACAATAGGATGTTAGTAATGAAAGAAAAAACACAGTAGTATCTCAGTAAAGATTAAAAATTAGATTTTAAATGGAGAAACACAGTCATTTTAGACAAGCAAATATGACCACAGCAATAATGGGGGCCAAGTGATAGTTTAGAATAAGTGCTTCCAGCAAAGCTAACGGGAACAACAAATATGCATCTCAGATGAAAATTTGGCTCTAGGACTTGAACATGAATAATTTTGGCAGAGAGAGACAGAATATCCCAGAAATAAAAGACCTGCTCATTAGAAACCCATCTAGCCAAAACCATGGGGGAAATCCTTAAGGAAAATCTCTATCAGTCTTTATTTTCAAGAATCTTGAATCAGTTTTGCAACTTTTTTAAAGCACTGAAGCTATTTATTAATAATGATATTTTGCGCTTTTATCAAGGAATTCACAGTACTTCATTAAATAAGTCTCACAGTGGCCCACATCCTGCTCCCATTGACATCAATGGTAAAACTCCATTTAACTTTAATGGTGCCGGATCAGGCCTACTGTGTGATAGTAGGTATTCTTATTTCTTTCAAGCAGGGAAATTATAGCATAGAAATGTCAAAGTGACAAACTCATGAGTAATGAGTCAGCGGCATAGCTGGGAAAAAAATCCAGGAGTCCTGACTCCAGGTTTTCTCCTTTACCTATCAGCCCATCTTGCCTCCCAAATGATAGCATAATTAAACAATATAAGAATTAGTGAAAAATTATGAACTTTCCTTTTTTGATATTCTTATAATCAAGCATGTATGGAAAAGAAAAGGCAGTAGCTGTTTATATTCCTTAGAATTCTAGCCTTTTCCACAATGCCAACAAAATAGGTATTTAGGTGGAAATTTACCTGCAGCTTACAAAGTTCTAATGCTCCTTCACTTTTCAATATCATTATTTCTATAGGAAAAGGCTTAGTGAACAATTAGTGCTTTGTAACTGATGAAAGAACTATTCATAAACGTAATAAATTGGATTGGAGACCTAGAATGGATATTCAGAAACATATGAGAACAAGGTAGAAATGAGTAGGTTGAATAGCTGATGATACCTCCTGGAAAAAGGCTAATGTAGTGCCCATCTTTAAAAAAGGGAAGAAGAAGGATCCTGGGAACTACAGGCCAGTCAGCCTCACCTCAGTCCCTGGAAAAATCATGGAGCAGGTCCTCAAGGAATCAATTCTGAAGCACTTAGAGGAGAGGAAAGTGATCAGGAAAAGTCAGCATGGATTCACCAAGGGCAAGTCATGCTTGACTAATCTAATTGCCTTCTATGACGAGATAACTGGCTCTGTGGATGAAGGAAAAGCAGTGGATGTGTTGTTCCTTGACTTTAGCAAAGTTTTTGACACGGTCTCCCACAGTATTCTTGCCAACAAGTTAAAGAAGTATGGGCTGGATGAATGGACTATAAGGTGGATAGAAAGCTGGCTAGATTGTCGGATCAATGGGTAGTGATGAATGGCTCCATGTCTAGTTGGCAGCCGGTATCAAGTGGAGTGCCCCAAGGGTTGGTCCTGGGGCTGGTTTTGTTCAATATCTTCATAAATGATCTGGAGAATTGTGTGGATTGCACCCTCAGCAAGTTTGCAGATGACACTAAACTGGGAGGAGAGATAGATACGCTGGAGGGTAGGGATAGGATACAGAGGGCCCTAGGCAAATTGGACGATTGGGCCAAAAGAAATCTGATGAGGTTCAACAAGGACAAGTGCAGAGTCCTGCACTTAGGACAGAAGAATCCAGTGCACCGCTACAGACTAGGGACCGAATGGCTCAGCAGCAGTTCTGCAGAAAAGGACCTAGGGGTTACAGTGGACAAGAAGCTGGATATGAGTCAACAGTGTGCCCTTGTTGCCAAGAAGGTCAATGGCATTTTGGGATGTATAAGTAGGGGCATTGCCAGCAGATCGAGGGACGTGATCGTTCCCCTCTATTAGACATGGTGAGGCCTCATCTGGAGTACTGTGTCCAGTTTTGGGCCCCACACTACAAGAAGGATGTGGAAAAATTGGAAAGAGTCCAGCGGAGGGCAACAAAAATGATTAGGGGACTGGAACACATGAGTTATGAGGAGAGGCTGAGGGAACTGGGGATGTTTAGTCTGCGGAAGAGAAGAATGAGGGGGGATTTGATAGCTGCTTTCAACTACCTGAAAGGGGGTTCCAAAGGGGATGGCTCTAGACTGTTTTCAGTGGTAGCTGATGACAGAACAAGGGGTAATGGTCTCAAGTTGCAGTGGGGAGGTTTAGGTTGGATATTAGGAAAAACTTTTTCACTAGGAGGGTGGTGAAACACTGGAATGCATTACCTAGGGAGGTGGTGGAATCTCCTTCCTTAGAAGTTTTTAAGGTCAGGCTTGACAAAGCCCTGGCTGGGATGATTTAGTTGGTGTTGGTCCTGCTTTGAGCAGGGGGTTGGACTAGATGACCTCCTGAGGTCCCTTCCAACCCTGATATTCTATGATTCTATGATTCAAACAACATCCCAGAGCATAAGAAAAGCAAATATGAGTGCACAGCTGGGTTCAGTGAAGATTCAGGCAGCTATCACAGCCAGGAAAGAAAGCTTTAGCAACAGATCATGAAGGAATCCAGAACAAATTAAACCAATAAGGGAAACTTCAGAAAAATTGAAGTCAAAATGATAGGTGAAAGAAACTGCCCATATCTGTATTATGTTAAGTCCACTGAATCAGGCAAACTATACAGTACTTAAAGGAATGACCCCCTACCATACAGCAAACACAACAGCCAATGATAGAGGATGTGGGGGAATCACTGAATGGCAAAATCTACCACCAGAAAATAAAGAAGAATGTCTTACTGCACTGTGGCAAAAGTACTGCAAAATCCCAGAGACCGTGAAAACCTGGATGAGGAGAGAAGATGAAAAATACTAATTAAAAGAATAAATCCAAACCCACAATGTGCAAATTGGTTATAGCTAAGGTCCAAACCAGAAAAAAAACAATGACAAACAATATATCCCAGAGCCAATAGTGCTGTCAGAGACTCAGCACTCTGCCCATTACAGTCACAAGCCTGAAACAGGAAAGTAACCAACACATACCACTGACAAGGGTACATACACTTGCCGCAAGATTGTATATGTGAAAGCATGTTCCCGCAGGCCAAGGACACTTTTTCGTCATAGATAGGATGTTGTAGGGAAGGAGAGGCAATGATAAAGCTCAAGAAAAAGATGCAGAATCACGGGATACATGACTTTTGTGAGCACCCTGATACCGTTACTTTTATTGTGCACACAAGACTAGGATGTTTGGGGATTTGCAAAACAGGTATACAAACAGATAGTGGTGAGTTACTCCACAGAGACTGCCAGTAAAGTTGTCAATTAATACTAGTTGTAGTGGATTTTGGAACATGCACCTTTCTTTAGTGGGAATTGACTATGAAACCCATATCAGATACAGGATAATAAAACCTACCTACTAGTACATTTCTGTGGAGGTTAGAATGGGAGCCAATATCAGGTTTACTACAGAAACTCAGTTGCAAACTTAACTACAAGAATGAACTAACTTTCACCACTCCATAATTCCTGAAGAGACATATGTGATAGTGAAAATAATTCCCACTCTCTTTATTAAAAGTTTTGATTCAATTAAGTCAATTCCATTGAATTGTATGGGAACTGTATCTGGTCCACAAAGATTCCATGTGCCACAAATTATACAGATGACATTAGACATAAAGCTAGTAAATCCACAATACATGCAACAACCCTCCATTAACCAGAAATGATAGCACTTACAAATAATGGACACATGCATGTATAAAACTGTCACAAAACCCAGTGCTATCTGGTACACATTCAATACTCTAACTTCAAGATGTAGAAGCACATTGTCTTCTCAAAATTTCAGAGGTTTGCAGTCATAAATTGCTGACTATTAAACCCCCTTTTAACAAACAAAATCATGAAGAGAAAATTGGAGAAAATGATTGTTTATTAAATCACAATCTCACAACAGCTTAACTCAGTTTTGTTTGAGAATTACAACAAATTTGCATCTCTACAGTAATTTTCAGTTACATTTATGGAAAAGGCAGTGCCTTTATTTCAATGAGTTTTTCCATCACAATCTTTTTGTGCAGAATCTAAGCTATTGGTATTGAGAAGTTAAGAAATAGTCTCATTAAAAATGAGTCTTCCTATCATAAGAAATATTTTCTGTAATATTTGGTACAGCAAAAAAAAACTCCAAGGAAATGAAATATTAACAAAAATATTCAAATATGTATTTAAAAACAAGTTAGACAAGAAAAGGTCAGGAATTGAAAGGTGTGACAAATACAAACAGAGCCAAGTTACAAAAAGGGTTAGCCATTTAAATGGCCAAGTTAAACATGACACAGTTAAGGTTAACTGAGTTCTGGTGACATATATAAACCCACATTTTGGGTGGTGGGGGCACATGGGGAGGGCTAAGTTAGCCTCAACAGTGTCTTGTTTATCTTGGCCATTTTAGACACTAACTGTTTTGTAGGTTGGCTCTATTTGTAGACATCACACCTTTCTGCACATTCTTAACACTTGGCATCCTTGTATATCGTAAATGTTGTAAGCAAAAATCACTTTTTTGTTTAGAAAAATAAAAAGTGGTATGAATGAATCACCATTCCATACCTAGGGAGAACAGCAAAAATCAGATATAGAAATTAAAATACACCCCCATCTCCAAACAACATGTGAACTCCCAGATGTCTGAAGTAAAGTCAAACATCTAATTAATTACCACACTTTTTTTATAGAGGATTGGACAGATCAAGGAACTGGCAATAGATTTCACTGTCTCTAGATCGTTCATTCAAAGCCTGCAGGGCTGGTGGTGACTAAAAAAATTGCCACCATCTGATGGTAGTTTGGGATGTGTGATATGAATGAATGCTAGGGATGGTTGAAATTTTTGTGTCAAAACTATTTTTGACAGAGAATTGGAATTTTAACTGAACACCATTTTTTCATGAAAAGTTTCTGCTTTCTGCTGAAAATTTTATCTTTTTGTCTACAAACCAAATGCCTGAAAAACAAAATATTAAGATTCGGATGTTCTGTCATCGTGACTTACGGGAGCTGCAGTTCAGTTTCCTCAGGTCCCCATTCTCCTCTATGAGCCAGGTTACCCAGCTAAACTGCAACATTCATGGTGCACCTAGGCCAGGGACTCTTATGATGCAACTGCCTCCCCTCACCAGCAGGAGAAACCATGGTGTATCATGGGAATTGGAGTCTGACCACAGAGCCTGGCCTACGGGGGGAGAATGGAAGCATGAGGCACATGATTACAACTCCCATAAGGCACCATAGCAGCATTCCTGAATTGAAATATTTCAGTTTTTGAAATATTTTGATTTTTTACCACTTTTACCACTTTTTTACCATTTTTCTATGTAAATTTTTGAAAATTATTTTTTAATTTTTGTTAAAATTTTCTGTAGAAAAAAGCCCATTTTCTGACTAGTACCAATGCATGCGCAACATCTAGTTTGTAGATAACAGAATGGAGACTATTGCATAACTGCAACCTGAGCATTTATCTACTCTGTGGATAAATGACTGGCTTCCATTTTCAGGGCTGGCTATTTGGCACCTTCCCCAACCACCTCATTCACTAACAACACTACTCATTTGTCAAGAAAAGAAATAATTTTAGGACAAAAATACTTGGCAACTACAGGATTAACTCAGCAACTAAAAACTGGAATAACATTTATGAATTATATTGTTCACCTGCAACATGGCGTTAACAGACTTCAGAACCCTCACAAACCTTGAGGTTCTCAAAGCAGTCGAGGGGGTTTAGAAACATCATATATTAAAATGAATAGAGGATATGTTCCTAAATCCCTTTAACCACTTAGAAAACCTCAGCCTATAATGTATTTTACCTAAATACAAAATATGCAGTAACAGATACTGAAACAAATTACTCTATGTGCCAGTCTTGTCAATTAATTCACCTACAGTGAGAAAATGGCCCTGACTGGCACGCAGAGTGGTTTGTTTTTTAAATTGATTCATGCGGCAGCATTAACAATAATGAGTTTATACCAACAATGCTGAACAGAATAGAATCAGTGTAAATGTTATTTCCAAGTTCTGTGGTATAAAAAATAATGGAACACTGCAAAATTTATATCTGTGGATGCAGATATCTGTGGATATAAATCGATATCTGTGAAGCCGCAGGGCTGTACCGGTAACCACAGCGGTAAGTGAATTAATCTACAAGACTGGCACATAGAGTAATTTGTTTCAGTATCGGTTACTGCATATTTTGTATTTAGGTAAAATACATTATAGGCTGAGGTTTTCTAAGTGGTTAAAGGGATTTAGGAACATATCCTCTATTCATTTTAATATGCTCGTAGGAGCCAAAGCCCCGCTCCAGAAGTTCCTCCAGCATAGCTGTACCACCCCAGCCCTGCCCACTGCACTAGGGCAACCAGGGATAGCTGCCTGTGAGCCTGGTGCCCACCCCAGTGGGCAGGGCTGCGGGCAGTACAGCCACACTGGAGGAGCTGCAGGCGTGAGGTAGTTTAGCTTCTGCAGTTCTCGGTAGAGCCCTGCAGCTCTGTGGATACCAATTTATATCTGCGGATATCCGCATCTGTGGATATAAATTTTGTATCTGTGCAGGGCTCTATAAATAAATCCTTCTCTCTGTGTCCATTTTTATCTATATGTGCCTATGTCGAGGGGGAATATTTTTGTGCTCTGAACATTCTCTTCATTGTTCAGATCATTTCCTGGCCTATGTCCTAAAATGCTCTTGCTTCTTGTGGACTTTTCACATTTTTAACTTGAGTGGTCTTCATTTGGTTTACTGTATCCTCATCCTACATGTTGAGTAAGTGAAAAAGGCCTGAAATTATAACACTTGCAAGTGCTGGCAAGTTTTTTGCTTATACAGAATTATGTATAAAATGAGAAAATAAACATAAAGGGCCACTAGTACAGTGCCACTTTTACATGCTGCATGCAAGGTTGCCTAATAGCTGGAGTGTGAAGCAACAGCTATAGTTAAGGTTGCCTGAAAGTCTCCATTTCAAGGGCCCTTTTTGTTCATCATTTTATCAAACATTTATCTTCTGAGCTGAAATTTTCCAGCTCTGATTCTTGCCTTAACATGATCAAAAAAAGCTCACCCATATTTGAGAATGGGAAACACACACACACACACACTTTGCGACTTGTGAGTATTGTGGTTTCCCAAACCCACTCAAATAAAACATTCTACCAACTCACCTTAGGCCACACCATTCTGAGACAGATCAAATGAGGAGCCAGGAGGAAAGAACTGGGGCTGGTTGAACAAGGAGACTAAAACTGGGAATGGATGGGTGGATGGGTGCGGGAGACGAGGGCAGAAACTATGAGTTGCAGAGTGGGAGTAGATTGGGACAGTTAGCCTGGAGGAGTAGACTGGATTGGCTGGGCAAGGAGACTGGGATGAGAAGCCTGAGTAATGGAGACTGGGACTGGGTGGGCAAGGAGAACAGGACTGGAACAAGGAGCCATGGTTGGGGAAGAGACAGGACTGGGACAGATTGGAGGGGCTGGGCAGAAAGGGTCAATTGTGCCCACTAGAACATGCAGCCCAAGATTCCTGAGTCTCACCATTCTGCTGCTGCCAGAAAATATCTGTGAAACCCTCTGGCAAAGTGTGTTTATCTTCCCACTCTATGCCAGTCTACATAGAGGATAATAACCTACTATTGTTATCAGTTACTGTGGAAGCTGAAGTTGCAGAGGTCTGTGGAGTGGATCTAAAGGTTCCAACCCTTCTGATGAAACAGTTGGTGTCACTGTATTACCAAATGATAGAATTACTATTTTGTTTT